GCCTCAGCCTTCCAAGTAGCTGGAACTACAGGTGCACGCTACCACGCCCAGCTAAGTTTTTTATTTATTGTAGAGACAAGGTCTTGCTAAGTTGCCCAGGTGGATCTCGAACCCGCAGGCTCAGGCAATCCACTCACCTCAGCCTCCCAAGGCGCAGGATTACAGGCTGAGCCACCAAGCCCGTCTTATAGGTATGTTTTTAAAACTCTGAGTTAACCTGGATTGAAATCCCAGATTTATCATTTATCAGTTGTGTATCCTTGAGTGAACAATTTAGTCTCACTGTCTCAGTTTTCTCAACTATAAAATGGAAATAATAATAGTGCCTACCCCATAAAAATGTCAGAGGAATTATACAAGATTTATATAGTATTTAGCACAAAGACTTGTACATATTAACAACTCAATAAATTTTACATATTATCATTATCTATTACTTCCATTAAATGTTTTTAAAACTATAGAGCTATGTTTTCAGAATAAGCAGGAACTTTGGAACAACCTTTCTAATTAAAAACACCTGGTTCAGTTTATTATCTTAAAATTGTTGCCGTTATGCAATTCATTACTGATTATACATTTTTACTCATGTTTAGATAGCACCGTTTTCAATACTATACATATTTAAGCATATTATTTGATTTATTAACATGTTGGACAATTCATTTCTGCAGCTTATTATTTTGGGTATTGTTTGAAATAAATCATAAAGATGGTGAAATTTTCTAATGGTGATTATGCTTCTACTAAAATGCTATGATTGTTCACATCTTAACTTGGTATTATAATATCCAATGTGTTCCTGAACTAATTGTGTAATTTCATAAACACTTACAGATTTAGATGCATTCTGAACACTAGCAGAGCTAGATGAAGATTTAAGGTCAGGAAATCTAGGCGAGGCAGACAATGGGCTTGATGTTGAGTCTTTGAAATATTGACTTCTAGTCTTGAATATATCAGGAATACCTGTATTTTAAAATTATACATTATATGAATATATTATTATATAGCCAATTGTGTCAAAATATTTCACTTTAAAATGAGAGTAGTACAGTAATATTGTACCTGGACTGTGCACATCATTCTTTATTCCCTTTGAAGATGAGCTGGAATTACCTCTGTTCAAAATATCTATAAAAATTATATTCATTTTAAAATTTATTATGTGAATGAAATATATATTAAGATAATAGAAAAAACATTTTAAAAAGATCTCCATACTCAACAAATAACTGAAGCACATTTTTCCCCCTTAACGGGGACTAGATTGTACATAGATTCAGATTCTTGTGACTTGAAATCAAGCCTTTCCCCAAATCTATTTCACATTCACACTCCTAAAAGTCTGGAAGCTTCATGATGGGCAAGCTGATTGAATTATCTATGCCATTATTCTTGAGACTTCAAACTAAATTGAACATAGTTTACCAGAGCATCGGATTAACTAAGGGGTTTCAAATCTACCACTACACCAGAAGTCAACTTAAGCCTGACAAAGGCTCTGAGTCAGCTAAAGACTGTACACTCTTGTACCCATGTGAACTTCATAGCTTCTAGGTTATTGAGGGGTCAAATTAAAATGTGGAATAATAGACATTAGCTTAAAATTGCGTATCAGGAAAAGGTACAAAGCATTAACAAATCCCACAAACCCTGAAAAATTTCCTTTTTTCTCTCATAGTAGAAAAGAACCAGATCCCATAAAATAATTCTATAAAGTAAAGGGTGACAGAAAAGTAGGGTCGTTTTCTGATCATGAATATGCAGCATTTTATGACTAAAAACTACAGAAATCGTCCTGGAAAAAATCTGCTCATTCAAACAACTTGATATTGCTTTCACTCAGAAATTCTAGGTAAATATTCACCCAAGCCATTAAAGAGTTATTCCTACTTTTTGGTGACTGTAGTCTAACCAAACACAGGTTTTTGTTATCTCATTTATAAGATAAAAAATATAAACATTTTGCTCATATTCCATATGCTAAAAATATTTTATGGCTTATACATAAAACATCAAAAAATCATTTAAATTCTAAAGTAACAATTTAGAAAAATAATTCCACTAAGGTCGATCCCCTTTTTGATAGAATCACTTAAAACTAATACACAAGTCGGGCTCAGTGGCTCAGCCTGTAATCCCACGCTTTGGAAGGCTGAGGTGAGTGGATTGCCTGAGCCCCCGGGTTCGAGACCTGCCTGGGCAACTTGGCGAGACCTCATCTCTACAATAAATCAAAAAATTAGCCGGGTGTGGTAGCACATGCCTGTAGTTCCAGCTTCTTTGAAGGCTGAGGCAGAAGGATCGCCGGAGCACAGCAGGTCAAGGCTGCGGTGGCTGAGCTTTGTTAACAATCATCTACAGTTAATATAAATCCAACTTGAATCTTAATTGGCATAATTTGAAGATGATTTAAGTGACAATTTTAAAATGTGGTAGTATTTCGGCATAAAAATCATTGCACTGACTAAGAACAGTAGTTAAGAGAATACAATATTCCGTTCCACTATCAACAATAAACACGCTAAATATACCTATTTCATTTTATAATTTAAATGGCTCTCCGCTTAGCATGTCCCAATTTGCCATGAAATGACACTTAGAATTCAATTGGATAAATTATTCTTTTGCTGATAAAACTGAATAGAGTGCTATTCCAAGTTTAAAGTCAAGAGAAGAAAGAGCTAGCCTTTCCGAAAATTTAAAACTCATTTCTTAACCACACTATTACTCATTGTCATGGTAAGAAAACTAGTATGAGGGGGGACCACTTCCCCCCAAAAAACCAGAATTGTCTTTTGGAGGATGGTATTTGGAGGGAGGGATTACAGGTTTCCCTTACTAGTTAAATGTTCTAGGAGCCCACTGGCATGAGTATACCAGTTAGTTTTGTTGTGAGAGGCTGCGTTAGGCTTCCAGTGAATTTTTTTTTTTTTGAGTTGGAGTCTCACTCCTTGCCCAGGCTGGCATGCAGTGGCACACTCATGGCCACTGAGCCTCTACCTGCTGGGCTCAGGTGATCCTTCCAGCTCAGCCTTCCAAGTAGCTGGAACTACAGGTGCATGCTACCATGCCCGACTAATTATTTATTATAGAGACGAGTTCTCACAAAGTTGCCCATGCTGGTCTTGAACTCTGGGCTCAGATAATCCTCACCTCAACCTCCCAAAGTGCTGAGATTACAGGCTTGAGGCACTGTACCCGGTATCAGTGATTTTTTTTGGGAAATTCTTTCAACGCGTTTGTCCATTTCATGATGGGTGATTTATACAAACCTGGCCACAGTGCACTGAGTGTTCAGCAGTTTTTAACCAAAAATGGCATGACCTCCATGCCTCACACTCCCTATTTACCTGATCTTGCCCTGAGCAACTTTTTTTGTTTCCCTGTATTAAAAAAGTTCTTAAAGGGTAACATTTTGCCAACGTGGAAGAGATAAAACAAAAACAGCAGAAGCACTAAAAGACATCAAAATTGATGAGTTCAAAAACTGTTTTGAGCAGTGGAAAAAGTATATCAATAGGTGAGCTGCATCAAATGGAGAATACTTTGAGGTGACTGAAGTTTAAACATGTAAGAATATACATACAATTTTTTATACGTAAATTCCAGATTTGTCAGGTCCCCCTTCATATGCTGGCTACATTCTTTGGTAGATTCTCAAGACTTAAAAAAAGTAACTAAAATGGGAAAGGATCTGTCTCTTCTTTCTCCTCTGAAACTAAGCATGTTGTCCCTCACACTTTACATATTTTTGAGAAGACATCTTAGCAAGTATCGCCAGTATTTTCACTTTGACATTATAACAATGCTAGGTCTAATTACTCTAATAGAAATCTAACAGAAACCTAACAACCCACAAAGGTACTAGATATGTTTTGTTAGAAAGCCATAAGGATTTAAGTGTGCTGACTGCCTGCACTGTCCAAGTGCAGAGGCTGAAGACCTCCTCCATAAATATGTTCTGGAAAATGAGAAGGTTCTGGAAGATGTAGCCGGAAGTCACAGCACATGTTGCTACACAGTCCAGAGATTGTATAATCATACAGCGCCTGAGCATTTTGTAACCATATATCAAGATGACACTGATGAGGCAATTGCTTGGGCATGAGAACCCTCATCAGATTCTAAGACAAACTTATTTAGATATTCTGATTTTTTAAAAAGCATTCCAAACACTTCCTTTTCTGTGCCGCTGGGCTTGAGGGAGAAAAAGAAAAAAAGTTAACAAATAAACAGATATGCTACTTAGCTCCATTAAAAATTACAATTTCCAATCTTACAAGGCCTACAATTCTGTCAGGTCATCTTAACCCTGAGTTAATGTAGTTACTTCCTTTTTCTCACATCTGATACCTTACCTCTAACCTCTTCACTACAGTACCCAACTACACCCCACCCTGATTCTCACAAATTCTTACTGAACTTTACTTTCCCCTTCACCTCCAACTACTTACAGGAGAAAAAGGACATCAAGGACATATAAGACAGCCCATATGTTTTTCCATTAGAAACAACCATCTTATGAAACTTCACTTCACTGAAAGTAAATGCTTACTTGAAATGGCTGGTTTTGAACTCGATATCTCTCCAACAAAGATGAGCTCATCATCTTCATCCTGAGAATCTGCTTTTTTCTGCCATGGTTCTAGCTCTTCTTCTTCACATTCCATAAAGAGTTCTGCCATTTTTGAATTGCCTAATTTTTAAAAGGAGAGAAGAAAATCTTATTTATAAAGAGAAAAATGCTTTCTTTTTAATACATAGTATAATGTTGAATATGTACTTTAATCATCCTAATTACAATTACTGCATTGATATTTGTAATCAGCACATGGCAGCAAAAGTAAAAACTCAGTAATCAATTGCTATGACTTAAACTAGAAAACATAGCTAGCTAGACAGATAATGGAGGACAACAGTTATTTACAGTGGCCAATATATTTTAGGATCAAATCAAATCATTGAGTTTTAGTTATATGATCAGAATATGATTATATCTACAAAAAAGATTTACCTAACTATTATCTGAAAAAAAACCCACCTATATTACCAAAACGTATATAAATTAGCAATAAGAGGCAACAGGTAGGAAATATACTAGACAAATTGAACCAGATTCAGGTACCAGGCTCAGAGCAAAACAGCGATGAGGTTTAAGATTGAGATTGGGGAAATTAAGTGACGCTTATTCCCTTCCAGGGCAGATTAGACCTTTCTCGCCTGAAGAAATTAAGTAAAGAACACACTGTAGGGCTGGGCGCGGTGGCTCAAGCCTATAATTCCAGTGCAGCACCTTGGGAAACCGAGGTGAGAGGATTGCCTGAGCCCAGAGGTTAGAGACCAGCCTGGGCACCTTGGTGTGACCTCGTCTTTACAAAAAATAAAAAAATTAGCTAGGCGTGGTGGCTTGCACCTGTAGTTCTAGCTACTTGGAAGGTTGAGGCGGAAGGATTGCCTGAGTCCAGCAGGTGGGGTCTGCGATGGTCGTGAGTATGCCACTGCACTCCAGCCTGGGCAACAGAGTGAGACTCCAACTCCAACTCCAAAAAAAAAAAAAGCATACTATGGATATCACCAGTCTACATGCTCTACCAAACACAGAGTTCCTAGGAAGCATTTTAGTGTCTCACTCTTAACTACGAATGGACAACCGATGAGCACCAGAAATTCGAGGAAACTTTCAATGTGAAAAATCAAAGCAATAAAATAGACTAAAGAATTTTAAAGAAAACAGAGATAATACAAAGGACAGGAGAAAATAATAAAGAGGATATAATTAGAATCTTTAGAGCGATAAAACAAGAAAATTATAAAAAGTAACACTCAGAAAGTAAACAGATTAAAAACAAGACAGCCAAAATTCATTTAAAAAAAAAATCCAAAAGTTCAGTAAATGTGGAACTAAAAGACAAAAAATACATATATTAAATAGAGAAGACAAGATAGTTAGAAAAATCAATTTCAAAAGTATAGTAGCCACCTAATAAAAACTCCAGAAAAGCTGGGTGCGGTGGCTCAAGCCTGTAATCCCAGCACTTTGGGAGGTGGAGGCGAGAGGATTGCCTGAGCCTGAGGGTTCAAGACAAGCCTGGGCAATAATGGTGAGACCTCGTCTCTACAATAAAAATCAAAAAAATTAGCCAGACATGGTAGCGCTCGTGCCTGTAGTCCAGCTACTTGAAAGGCTGAGGTGGAAGGATCTCCAGAGCCCAGCAGATTGACACTCAACACTAGGGTGGCCGTGAGCATGCCCCTGCACTCCAGCCTGAGGGACGGAATGAGACACCAATTAAAAGGCTGGGCGTGGTGTCTTACACCTGTAATCCCAGCAATTTGGGAGGCTGAGGCAAGAGGATTGCCTGAGCCCAGGGGTTCTAGACCAGCCTTGGCAACATGGTGAGACCTTGTCTCTACAATAAACCAAAAATGTAGCAAGTCATGGTAGCACGCATCTGTAGTCCCAGCTATCTGGAAGGCTGAGACAGAAGGATTGCCTGAACCCAGCAGGTCGAGGCTGCGGTGGCCATGAGTGTGCCACTGCACTCCAACCTGGGCAACACAGTGAGACTCCGACTCAAAAAAGAAAAGAAAAGAAAGAAATTAAACTTTCAGATTACCTGACAAGTTTCACTGTATAGAAAATTGAGTTAAGAGGCTATGGGAGGGTGTGGGTGGCTATAGATTTTTTAGCTAACAAAAAATGAAAAAAATGACAGAATATGTAAAAAAAAAAAGGGAGGGGAAGGAAACAAACCCATAACATGCTATAACACAGTACTATGATCTGCAGAAAATAGTATTTACTATGGTCCTCATAATAAAAACATCAAACATGATTTAACAAAAAATTAAGATATATCGGGAGATGCTTAAAGGAAGGGGTAAGTGTAAGAAAATTAAAATCTTCATTTTCCTTGATAAAAATAAATCATTAGCCAGTGGCAAAAAATAGATGATTCAAGACACAGATGTATGTAATGTGTTAAAAAATTGAGAAATGTGGAAATAATTATTAGAAAAACAGTTTAACAGACCAGGTACAGGGGCTCATATTTGTAATCCCAGTACTTTGGAAGGCCAAGGCAGGAGGATTGCTTGAGCCCAGAAGTTCAAGACCAGGCTGGGCAACATAGCGAGACCTCATCGCTACAAAAAATCAAAAACTCATCTAGACATGGTGGCGCATGCCTGTCATCCCAGCTATTCGGGAGGATGAGGAGGGAGGATTGCTTGAGTGCAGGAGTTCGAGGCCATCCTGGGCAATATAGCTAGACCTCATCTCTACAAAAAAAATTTTTTAAATCAGCTGGATATAGTGGTGCATGCCTATAGACCCAGCTACTCAGGGGGCTGAGAAGGGAAGACTGCTTGAGCCCAGGAGTTTGAGACTGTGGCGAGCCGTGATTGTGCCACTGCCTTCCAGTCTGGGTGACAGAGTGAGACCTCTCAACTCAAAAAACAAACAAAGAAAGAAAAAAAAACATCTAAACAATTGAAGGAGCATGCCTTGAAAACATAGGCAGTACACAGGTACGTGCATTTGTGCACATACTCATTTATCTCTACCGCCGTCTCCCTGTGTCCCTCTTTACCTTTAAGAAACTGTGATTATGCAATGTAAAGTCTTTTCAGGTTGTTTGACTGTAAAAAAAAACTATGTGTGTCTTGTTTTTGTTAAAAAAAAATATGTAAGCCGGGCTCAGTGGCTCAGCCTGTAATCCCGTGTCTTTGGGAGGCTGAGGTGAGTGGATTGCCTGAGCCTGCGGGTTCGAGACCCGCCTGGGCGGCGAGACCTCATCTCTACAATAAATAAAAAAAATCAGCTGGGCGTGGTAGCGCACGCCTGTAATTCCCGGCTACTTGGAAGGCTGAGGCGGAAGGATCGCCGGAGCCCAGCAGGTCGAGGCTGCTGTGGCCGGGAGCGGCCACTGCACTCCAGTCTGGGCGACAGTGAAACTCCAACTCAGAAAAAAAAAAAAAATA